TGCTAGCCTAAGGAGTTTGGACTTTATAGATGAAAGTTCCATACATATATGAGCACCACTAGGAATATAGGTTTAGCCCCCAGTAAACAAAAAGCTAATCTAAAAGACCATCTGCTGATGCTGCTAAAAGGCTCTTTATTCTTTTTCCATGTTAAAGACAGTAAAACTTATATATATGTATATATATACACACACATATATATACACATATACATATATATACACACATATACATATATATGGCTCTGTAAACTTACAATGGCTGGAGCGATAGCACAGTGGTAGGGCGTTTGCCTTGCACGCAGCCAACATGGCCGACCCGAGTTCGATTCCTCCGCCCCTCTCGGAGAGCCTGGCAAGCTACCCAGAGTATCTCGCCTGCACGGCAGAGCCTGGCAAGCTCCCCACGACATATTCGATATGCCAGACACAGTAACAACAAAATCTCCAATGGAGACGTTACTGGGCCCGCTCCAGCAAATCGATGATCAATGGGAGGGCCTTTACTTCCCCCTCTCGGAGAGCCCGGCAAGCTACCGAGAGTATTCGATATGCCAGACACAGTAACAACAAAGTCTCCAATGGAGACGTTACTGGGCCCGCTCGAGCAAATCGATGATCAACGGGAGGGCCTTTACTTTACTTACTTTGATAAACTTACAATATCTCACCAATGGTGCTCATGTAGATTAGCAACCGGATTTGTTAATGGTGCCATGTGGTGTCTAGGATCAAACTCAGGGCCTCGCAGATACTCCCAGCACATGCTCTCCCTCTTGAGCTAGATCCCTGGCTTTGGACTAGTATTTTCTCTTTCTGTTTTATTCAATCATTTCTTTTTGCTCCCACCGCCCTCTCTTTGGTGCCTATTGTTTCTGTGATGACTGGGGTTCACACACACCCAGTTGCAGTGCTCACATATGTGACCTTAGTGCTCACTAGGGCTTGGGCTCATTTAGTTGTGCTACTCATGCACATTCTGTTTTTTTGCTGACCGTGTTTGCTGTGGTGCTGACATGTTACCAGGGATTAGATTCCTGGCAGGAGTGCTCCCCATCATTAGTTGTAGTGCTCACCTGAGTCCCGCACTCTGTTTTGAATACAGGGGATCCCAGACAGGAGAGAATTGGGGCACACAACACTCCAGGCCTCACACCTGCGGTGCCTTTAGCCACTGAGCCGTTCCTGGACCTCCAGGCTAGTATTTCTTGATTGGGGTGCCAAGATACAGGCAAGGGGTGTAGTCCTGCCACCAGTGCTACAAGACACTACATAATTTATATTTTTAAGGCTCTTCCTCCGCAGCATAATAATCTGCCAGATGGAAACAAATGTGAATTTAAGACAGTTGGCGAACTTTGTGTAGGGAAGGTGATTTAAATGGGGTCCGAGAACCAAAATATTGAATCTAAAGATAATAGGCATGGCATTTTGTTATACAGTAAAGGATATATAACAGGTCTTCACCCCCAGTTCCTGACTAGTTCCTAAACCCTCACAATTTCCTGAGCTGTGGGATTGATAGGAACATTTTGTTATATTTGATCCTAATCCTGGGTTCCTGACTGGAGTTTCTAAAATGGTTGGACTTTCCAGAATGATGAGTGCCTTTCTGTATGCTAGTGGCTTGACTAGTTTCATGATGGAACTCGTCCCTCAAAAAAGTAAAGTCAGGATTAAAGGGTTGGAACTTTTAGCCTTACCTTGATTTTTTTCAGAGAGCAGATAGATTTGGATTGAGTTAATCATGAGGGTTCAATTATCACTCATGTCTATGGAGGAAATCATCCATAAATTTTTCTAAACTGTAGGGCTGGAGAACTTCTAGGTTGATTGGAAGCAATGATAAGTGCGGTGAGCTCAGAAATGGCATGGACACACTCTGTGTCATTTTGCCACACTCCCCCTCTCCCTGCCCTCGACTTTAGAGCCATTCAAGTGGTAGAGGATTTAATTTTATGTCTCTCTACTCCATGAGACCGTTTAATTCTCCAGAGTACAAATTAGGATATTCCATAATTATTTATAATAAGAATTAGGATATTCTGTAATTATTTAATTTCAACTGCTAGCCTTAGGAAAATACTAGTGTCAGCAGTGTTACTGAAAATACTTCCTTTTAAAATTATGTATGCTCTCTTTCCCACCCAGTTTTAGAAAGCTGCATTATATCTGCCCTGCTAAGTCATAGATGATTAGGCAGACCTCCGTTCTTATAAGTCATTGTTCTCAGTTCTGTAAATTAGAACTCATGTCTTTATATCCCTAGTTCCTTTGCGTAAATCTGTTTTCTAGTAGATTCTTAGGAAAAGTGCACTGTACGGTATCGTGCATGTTGACCCAATCTGGGTCAGCCGTGTCAGCCGTGTGCAAGGCAAATGTCCTACCTGCTGTGCTAATTCTCCCGATCCATGTGCAGAGGATATCTTTCCATTTTCTCGTGTCCTCTTTTATTTCCGAAGTAGCGTTTTGTAGTTTTATGTTTATGTAGTTTATGTTTATGTAGTTTAGCGTTTTGTGCCTTTTATGTTTAGAACTGAGTTTTGGTTAATATATGATCTTTGGATCTTACATTCTTTCCTTGATTGTCTTTTTTTTGCTTAAGGTAACATGATTAATAACAATTTTTTAAAAAATTGTTTTACACTAGTGAAAAAATATACACATTTTGAAAAAAAAATCCAAGTAGTGATAATTTTGATGGTTTTGTTGTATGAGATTTCTGCACCGTCCCATCAGGAGAGTGCAAATTCCCTCTGCCACTGAACTTAGTTCATTTCTAATCGCCCTTTTCCTTCCCTCTTCCCCTGCCTCACTGCTTGGTTATTCAGTTTTGTGTTCAAAAGTCAAGGAGTTGCTAGCATTCGGTATGATCCATGCCATTGTGTTTCTGTATACATCACTTAGCTAAGTGAGAGCATTTGTTTTCACCCTCCTTCTGACTTACTTTGCTTAATATAATGCACACCAGTTCCATCTAAGTTGTGACTGAGCAGAGAGCACTGTCCTCCCATTGTCCATCGATTTTGCTTGAGTGGGCCCAGCAACGTCTCCATTGTGAGACTTGTTGTTACTGTGTTTGGCATATCCAATACGTCACGGGTTGCTTGCCAGGCTTTGCTGTGCGGGCGAGATACTCTCGGTAGCTTGCTGGGCTCTCCGAGAGGGGTGGAGGAATCGAACCTGGGTCAGCCGTGTCAGCCGTGTGCAAGGCAAATGTCCTACCTGCTGTGCTAATTCTCCCGATCCATGTGCAGAGGATATCTTTCCATTTTCTCGTGTCCTCTTTTATTTCCGAAGTAGCGTTTTGTAGTTTTCTTTGTACAGGTCTTTTACTTCCTTAGTTAAGCTGATTCCTAGGTACTTGATTTTCTGGGACACAATTGTGAAGGGGATTGTTTTCTTCATGTCACTTTCTTCTCTTTCACTGTTTGCGTATAGGAAAGCCATGGATTTTTGGGTATTGATTTTATAGTCTGCCACTGTACTGTACAAGTCTATTGTTTCTAGGAGTTTCTTGGTAGAGGTTTTAGGGTTCTCTAAGTATAGTATCATATCATCTGCTTGATTTCTTCCTTTCCTACCTTGAATGCCCTTAATACTTTTTCTAAGCATAGATTTCTTGCTTGAAGTCTTTTAGAGTGAAATCAACAGTAAGCTGTGCATTCTTTCAGTTTCACTTCATTCTATTTTAATCTTCTTTTTTTTGTTTTTGTGGGATTTTATCTTCTCTAGAGTGAAATTTCTAATATGCCTATTTATTTGATCATAATTGTTCATATTGCTTTTCTTTGCTTAACACTTTTTACTTCTGCATCTTCCAAAAACTTCAAATTCTTTCATATGAAATAAAATTAATTAATTGTTCTTCCTGCCTCCTCATCTCTTGATCCTATTCTTTATTACTTTTAATTACCATGAGTTTTTATGTTGCAATTACGTTTTTCCTTGAATGTTGAATTCATCTTCTAAGACTCATTTCAACTTTACCACTTCCTGCAGTGAGTGTTAAGCTGATTTCCAGGGTTTAGTGGGAGAAATTAATACGTTAATTTGTAATGGTTTCTGAAACACTTTATAAATTTAGTTAGGCTTTATTTTCATCTTAATGAAAAAAAATGAATAGACTTCAAACTGCAATTAGGAAGAGAATTTATATTAAAAGTGTTGAGAATTCCTTGTACTACACATTTTTTCTATAGGTGTCTTACATATATATGCGCTTATGTGTTCAACAATTGTTTGACATCTATTCAACCATTTAAATCTATTCAGTGTTTATGTTTTTGGAATGAAAAATGTAGTACTTTAAATGAGTAAGCTTTAGAGAGATATGAGTAGGAAGGCATGGATGAATGTGGTGAAGACTTGTTTGCTGGGGTAGGTCTTCATCTCCATACCCTTTTTAAAAACTTGAGTTCTCTATTACAATATGAAAGTCATTCTTTAGACATTTATTGCTTCCTAGAGCCTTGGAATTTACTTATATAATCAAAGGATTTCCCTCCTTCTAGTTTCTGTACTGTTTGCTTCCATGGATAGTTGTGTGTCCATATATTGTGTGCTGATGTACTAATGTCATTATTAAGGAAGTGTTGTGAGAAATAATTGTTCAGCATTTGGGTAAACTTCAGGAGCCTCTTGGTATCTTTGACATTTCTATAAATAACTTTATTCTTCTGGGAAAAGAAATCATTTTATCTAACCTTGACAATACTGTATGACTCCAAATAAGAGAAGACCCATAGTTGTTTGAATATAGTGGAGGTTCTTTAAAACAGATACATCCTATACATCCTCGTCCTAACTTCTTTTTTTTTTTTTTGCAGTGCCATCCATCAGGCTCTCATGTTTATGCAACGAATACTCAGTGTCTAAGCTACATTCCCTAGACCTTATTTATTACTTTTAACATGGTTGTAATATTGGTTGTAATGCATTTTCAGTTTGCTAAAGGATATGTTGCTCTTGTCTTTTTTGCTTTTTGTTTTTTGTTTTAGAAATGCGAGATAAAATGAGAAAATGGAGAGAAGAAAATTCACGAAATAGTGAGCAAATTGTTGAAGTTGGAGAGGAATTAATTAATGAATATGCTTCTAAGCTGGGAGATGATAGTATGTTCTTTATTTTATTATATATCTGATTTTTTCTTTTAACCATATTTCATTTGGTATCCCCCACCGCCCCCCCCCCCCCCCCCCCGCGTTCATATCAATCTGTACTTTTGTTACTAAAAAAGCTCAGGAAGCTTAGATACTTTATTTTGAGGACTATATAACTACTGGTAGTAGAGACATTATTAAGTAGTTATTTTTTAATGTTCACAAGGCTACAGCCTTGATCTCATCAAATGCATTTTATAAATCATTAAAAACAGTAAAAGTATTAAGTATTTGACTTTATTAGGTATTAATACATTTTACATTGCCTAAAAACTAAAAGGATATTCTCTTAGTTCCAGATATAATGTAATAATGAATGAATTTTTATTAAGAACTAATAATTTAAAATATATGAAATAAAATAGTATGTTATCTAATTCTTGTTGTGAGATGATTAAATTTATTTACTTCCTCTCTTTATGTCTAGTTTGGATTATATATGAGCAGGTGATGATTGCAGCCCTAGATTATGGTCGGGATGACTTGGCATTGGTAGGTGTTTAATTCACTATGTTTTACATTTTTGCTTAATTTTTGTATAAAGTATGTAAGATTCACTATGTGACATTGAATACTTTATAGCTGGTTTTGAATGCTGTGATTAAGAGCAGTCGGAATCAGTGAGTACTTTAAGAGGCAGTATGCTCTTAAATCTTTTTGATAGTCTTAAGACATACATGGTATCATAGTTTTGCTAAAAGAGTAAATTAGCTGGTGGAGGATTCCACCTAATGAATCATAGTTATGATATAGATTTTAAAGTATGAAACAGATCATTTAAAACAAGATTGTATTTTGAATGTTGAATGATGTTTGTGCTATAAAATGTTACTGCAGTTATTAGATATTTTGAGTATGTACTTAAATTGTTAGAAAATCCTAACAGGTGTAAAATTCTACATAAAATGCTAATACTGCTTAAAATACAAGACTGATGATCGTTATAATTTCTGAACAGTTGTATGGTAGTATAGGTATGGTAAATGCTTTGTGTCAAGATTTATTTAATCTTCACATTTATTTCATAAATTTGTAGTTGATACCATCATTGCATTCATTTTGTAAGTCAGAACGCAGAATTGTAATATTCTTCCCATAAAGCTGCATTCTTAAATTACATTTCATTTTACTTCTAAATGAAAAAGAAATTTAAAAATGTAGAAATACCTGAAAATGTGCATATCTGAATTAGCATTTCAAAGTAATTACGTTATGGGTGCTAGAGCAGTTATACAGCAGGTAGGACACTTACCTTGCATGCATCCAACTCATATTTGATAGCCACCATATCCCAGAAGGTCCCAGGAGTGATCCCTGGGTGCAGAGCCAAGAATAAGCCCTGAGCACTGAGTGTGGACTCCACCTCCCTTTCCTCCCAAAAAGCAACCAAACCAAAGTAATTACTTTATGTTGGCTAGGTATGTAATTGTAGTGGGATGGTGGTAAAAATATTCTACAAGTACTTTTTGATTACCTTTAGGCTCTATGAGGTAATCTTTTGAATATCTGCAGAAATGGAAGTTATTTAATGAAGGAAAGTTTTTAAATTTATTTTTAAATAGCTAAGTATCATTTGGTAAAGAAAGATATTGAATTAGATGATAATGTTGATAAAGCAGGGGATCAGATTGGACAGTGACTGATTTTGTAATGCATTGTTTATTAATGGCTCAAAGTTTCTATACGATTAGCTTGAGTGACTAATATGAGTTTCCCAGGATAATAAAGAACCAAAGTGTATCTTTAGTTTTAACTGATTGTATATTATTTTTTGTGTGACAAAATTTCAACCACAGTTTTCAAAGTTGTAATTCCCTATTTAAATGTTTATTATTGCTTACTAGTTTTATCATGAGTTAAAGGCAATTTTTAGTCACACTTTTGTGCACTAAAATGCCATCTTAACCATTCATAGCAGGGGCTGGAGTGATAGCACAGCGGGTAGGGTGTTTGCCTTGTATGCAGCCGACCGGGGTTTAAATCCCAGCATCCCATATGGTCCCCTGAGCACCGCCAGGGGTAATTCCTGAGTGCATGAGCCAGGAGTAACCCCTGTACATTGCTGGGTGTGACCCAAAAAGCAAAAAAAAAAAATTCATAGCACTGTAGTACTCTCTTCCCGTTGTTCATTGATTTGCTGGAGCGGGCCCAGTAACATCTCCATTGTGATACCTGTTGTTACTGTCTAGTAATACTCCTAGCTCTGATGCTCAAGGGTCATTCCTGGCAATGCTTGGGGGAACATGTGCCATACATAGTGGTAGGCTTCTAACTGGTATTGGCCCGGGCCTTGTATTTTTTTGTTTAGCATATTGAATACATCACAGGGAGCAGGCTTTGCTGTGTGGGCAAGATACTTTCGGTAGCTTGCCGGGCTCTCCAAGAGGGGTGGAGGAATCGAACCCAGCTCGGCTGGGCCGGTTGCGTGCAAGGCAAACGCCCTACCACTGTGCTATTGCTAAGTTGCTGAGAACATAATATGTGCTCAATAAATATTTTATTAGTTTAGCTGATAGGCGAATTATGAATATCTGCACAAAGAAAATTGGTGTAGATATGATGTCTGCATTTTGTCTGTATTTTATTTTGTCCTCACCTAGTGGTGCTCAGAGTATACTTGTAGCTCTGATGCTCAAGCGTCATTCCTGGCAGTGCTTGGGGGAGCTTGTGCCGTACATAGTGGTAGGCTTCTAACTGGTATTGACCCTGGTCTTGTATTTTATTTTTAATTTTTATTAATGAATCACCATGGGGTACAGTTACAGACTTACAAACTTTCATTCTTGCGTTTCGGTCATACAATGCGTTTCATTCTTGCGTTTCGGTCATACATCAAGCTGCCAGTGCCTATTCTCTACCACCAATGATCCCAATATCTCTCCCATGACTCCCACTCCAAGCCCCCCAAGGTCTTGAATTTTCTGACCCCAAATATGGTTATGTGTACAAATATCGGTTATGAGATCAGATTTATTAATATGTTTTAATAGAACAAAATTAAAGTGCTTATAGTATTTGGTAGAGACTTGAATATACTATTAAAGAAAACCTTATTTTTACTGACAGAATTCTGTTGCCATAGGAATGAAAGGCCAGTAGACAATTAAGTGGGACCAGATAAGTCCTGGAAACAATTTTGAAGGAAGAATATTATGGCACTGTATGAGAAATTATTAGTTAACCTCATATTCTCATTTTTTATTTTAGAGTATGATCAGTTTCTAAGAATTTATTGCCATTTCATTGTCATTTTATGGTACTTTTATCATATTGTTTATAACTGATTAATTTCACCTCATGTCATTAGATCACACTAGTAAAATTAAGATAATGTTAAAATTCATATTTTTAATGTTATCAAATGAGCCATTTTTTGATACAGTAGAGTTGCTATTCTTCCCCTCCCCCCCCCCCCCCCCCCCCCAATTTTGGTGTTTGGACCACAATGAGCAATGCTCAGAGCTTACGCATGACTCTGTGCTCAGGTATCACTTCTGGCGGGACTCTGGGGACTGTATGTGGTGCTGGGATCTAACCCAGTTTGGACTCATTTAAAGGCAAGCTCCCTGCCAGTTGTTCTATGGCTTTCGCCCTGAAATTACTGTTCTTGAAGTCTTTTTTTCCCTCCCCTATTTTTCAGTTTTGTCTTCAGGAGTTGAGGAGACAGTTCCCTGGTAGTCACAGAGTCAAGCGACTAACTGGCATGAGATTTGAAGCCATGGAAAGGTAACGGAATCTTGTATATTTACAAGGTCATTGTTGACATTACTAGGCTATTTCAAGATCATACTTAGAAATTAAAAGCTAGAGCCTATGTGTACGTCTTCCTGTACTCTTGGCATTATCATTAATTGTGCAAGATCATTTGTTTCTGAGCTTCAGAATAGTGTTAGAATGATATTAAAATCTTACTGTAAATAACTTCTGCTAAATAGGATTTCACATAAGAATATAATCCATTTATAATCTTCGACCAAGTGAAATGTGATCTTGCTTTGGAGTAAGAACTGACTTTGAATTCTGTTTTTAAAAAGATTCATTGACTATTGATCTGCCATTTTACTCAAATTCTTTGAGCCTTTTCTACCTGAGCCTTTCTTTTCTGTGAAATAAGAATAATACTAACTTCTCTGGATTTTTTTGAGTAATGATACATGTATACGATCAAAGACATTCAAAATACAGATGGTTTTAGAGTATTTTTTTTAAACTATAAAAGTAGAGGTTTATGCCTTTTAATCACTTTTACCCATTTCCAGTCACCCCTGCAATCATCAGTCTGTTGTCAATATATGTGAGTTCTGTTGCTTTTTGATTCTGTATATACAGTAGTCACTAACTATTGATAGTTTTCTGTATGATTTACTACATTTAGCAGTGTTCTCAAGATACATCCCATCCACATTCCAGGTTTACCTTATTTTATCACGATGACCATCCTGTTGTTCGTTGATTGCCTGGAGCAGGCCCCAGTAACGTCTCCTTCGTCCCAGCCCTGAGATTTTTTAAAATGTGCCATATTCAAGGCTCTTTCAGGGTTAGGATAATGAGACCCATCATTGTTACTGGTATTTGGCATATTGGGTACGCCACGGGGAGTACCTTATTTTATAATGACTAAATAATATTTTATCGTGCGTATGTTTTATGCACACAAAACGCTTTTTATTTTAGAAAGTAGAAAGTTTATTGGAAAGTAGAAGAGAGAAAACTAACTCCCCATGTTGGGAGGAACTTAGTATAGGACTAAGTTCCCGCACACAGAACATTTTATGTTTTCATTCATTCCTTGCTGGACACTTAGGTAGTGTCTATGTCTTCATTTTAATAAATAAATGTTTTATTGAGCGTCAGGGTCTAGAACACTGAAGAGAGTGATTTTGTTTTCTTGAGTTAAATATGCAGAAGTGGAATTGCTAGAGGAAGTGGTTGTTCTTTTTAAAACTTTGAGGAACCTCCATGCCAATTTTCACATTAGCTGCGTTAATTTATATTTCTACCAAAAGTTCACAAGGGTTCCCTTTTGCAACATTCTTTACAACACTTGCTGTTTTCTTCTTTTTTATAATAGCTATTCTTACAGTTATGTGGTATTTTTTATTTTTCTTTGCAATTCATTACTAGTGATTTGAGCACTTTTTCCTTTATCTACCCATTACCATTTGTATGGTTTGGAGAAATTGTTTAGTTTCTTTGCACATTTCTAAGTCAAGTTGTTTTTGTTGTTGTCTGTTCTTGTTTTTGCTGTTTGAATACTTTGTGTTGGCTGTTAGACACTCTTTGTCGCATGTATGACTTGTAAATATTTCATCCCCTTCATTTTATAGGTTTCCTTTCATTTTTTTGATAGTTTGCTTGTTGTATAGAATTTCTATTGTGTGATATAGGCCCTCTGATTTTTATTGCCGTTTGGTGTCAAATGCAAAAAATCATTATCAAGACTGATGCCAATTTTCTTCTAGTACTTTTGTGGGCTTAGTTGTTATGGTCAGGTCTTTGAATCCATTTTGAGTTAATTTTTGTGTATAGTAGAAGGATTGTAGTCTAGTTTCATTTTTCTGTATGTACTTATCTTAATTTTCTCAGCTCCGTTTGTTGAGGAATTATCTATTTCCCCCAACTTATTTTTGCTTTCTTAATTTCTTTTATAATTTTCAGTATATAGAGCTTTTGCCTCTTTGCTTAAATTTATTTCTGTATTTTATTTTATGTTTTTTAATAGCACCATAAATGGAATTGTTTTCTTCATTTCTCATTCTGGTAACGATTATTAGAGTGCAGAAACAAAAGCGATTATTATTTTCTTACTCATTGTAAAAGATCACTCAAAACTAGAGCCTCATATGCATGCAAGGCAGTTATACTGCTGAACTGTCCCCAGTCAAAACAAATGTTCTTTGTGTTTTGACATTTTTTTATACTGTGACTTTATTGAGTTATTTTGTTCTAACAAAATTTTGGTAGATATTTTTCGGTTTTTATTTTCGGTAGATATTTATAATGTCACATTACAAATAAGTCTGCATATACTTGAACATCATGCTTTATATATTTCTAGTCTTTAGGATTTTCTCTGTATCAATATATTATTATAGAGACAGTTTTGCGTCTACAAGTTTGTTTGGGGTGCCTTCTGATTTCACTGGCCAGGATTTTCAGTATCATGTAGAATAAATGTAGGATGAATGGGCATTGCCTTTTATTCCTGAACTTGGAAAAGCTTTCATCTTTTTTACCATAGCTAATTTTACCATAATTAGTCGTTGACTAATTACATGTAGCCGTTTGTGGCTTTGTGTTTTTCCTTTTTATATAGTTTTTCTTTGTTTTTGTTGTTGTTAAGTTTTTGGTCCACACCCAGTTATGCTCAGGGATTACTTATTACTGCACTCAGGAATAGTCACTCCTGGTGGTCCTTGGGGGAACCACATGAGATGCTGGAAATTGAACCTGGATCAGCTGCATGCAGCACAAATGCCTTACGCACAGTACTATAGCTTTGTTCCTTAATAGCTTTTCTTATGTTTAAATGTGTTCTATTCTATCCAGCTTTTGAGTTTTATCAGTAGTGGATGTTATATATTGATCCAAATATATAATTAGGTATGAATGCCTTTTGTGTAGTCATATAATTATAAAAGCAGTATAAAATTCCTATATATAAAATATTTTAAATGAGAAAATATCAAAATTTGTGTTATTTTAATGAATTAAATGATTTCCTGGTTTCTTCTGTTGTTTCTCTAAACTTTTCAGGTGATTCTCACATATGATTCTTAGAGAATTCATGGTCTAGTACATTAATTTTACCTTTGTTTTATTACTTTTCATGCTGTTTTATTATTAAATGATTTTATTTTCTGTTTCCAGTTTATTTATTTATTTTTTTTAATGTAAGAGTACTGCTGCTTATTCAGCCACCGATTAGCTGATTGAATTCGGCATGAACTCCACCTTTCCTTTTTTTTTTCATAATTTTATTTATTTATTTTTTCTCATTATATTTATTTATTGAATCACTATGGGAAAAGTTACTAAGCTTTCAGGTTTAAGTCTCGGTCATACAATGATCAAACACCTTTCCCTTCACCAGTACTCATTTTTCACCACCAAGAACCTCAATATACACCCCCTCCCACCCTTCCCAATGCCTGTGAGGCAGGTGATTTGTACTTAACTATTCTTTACATTGATTACATTCATTATTTCGACAAAAGATGCACCATTATCATTTAGAATTTCCCCTGCAATAATCAGAATTGCTGAAAAGGCATTGTGAAATACTTTGTTTTCTGTAGCTGGTTATGAGAATCATATAATGTCACACGGCCACGATTTTGGATTTCTGCAAAGAGCCAGATAATTACGAGATTGGTTTCTGTATGTCTGGTGTTATGGCTGTGCTGGAGAGCCGCTTGCGGAGGGCAACTTGTGACCTCAGTAGGACATGAAGAATGAGCCCCCCTTCCCACGAGACTGCAGTTGCCCCATAACTGCCGGCTCATACCTGGCTTTCCTATAAGCTCTGAGGCAGCAACTACCTTGCTGCTGGGGGGGGGGGGGGGGGCGGGGGGGAGGGAGCAACACCCTTTCCCTCCCAGGGAGGCATGGCACCGTAGTTTAATGCATGGTCCATTCACTTTTCTGCTGCAAGCTGCCGGGCTCTGGTTTAAGTCCTTTTGCTCTAGAGCCATGGCTGTGCTGGAGAGCCACTTGTGAGGGGCAACTCGTGACGTCAGCAGGGTGTGAATGACGAGCTGGTACCACTCCCCTTCCTATGAGACTGCAGTTGCCTCATCACTGCTGGCTCATACCTGGCTTCCCAATAAGCTCTGAGGTGGCGGCCACCATGTATGCGGTCCAGATGCATTTCTGTCAAAAGCTGCTGGGTTTCGAGATTTGTTTCTGAGTCTCTAGGATCATGACCATTAATCAGCTTGATCAGGAGCCAGAGAGGCCGTTTGTAGGCGGCAACTCGGGGTCTTTTTGGGATGGGGAGGAAAGGACTGGTTCAACCCCCATCTGGTGAGGCCCTGTGTGTCTCGTCACTGCAGGCCCAAACCTCACTATCCAGTGGCCTCTGGAGGATGGCGGTCACCAGGCCGCCAGGGGGAACAGGCCAAGGCACAAAACCTACTCCCACCTGGAGTGGCCCAGCACCAGTAACCTACTGCAGGAACGGGACTCATTTCTGCCAAAAGCCTTTGGGTTCTGAGATTCGTTTCTGAGTCTCTGGGATCATGGCCGTTAAGCAGTTCGATCAGGAATCAGAGAGGCCATGCCTCCAATTATGTAGCTGAGCCTGAGGTGGTTTGTGTGTGTGTCTCCCAGATACCTAACTTTTGACTGTTTACTTTCTTGGTGGCTGGAGCGATAGCACAGTGGTAGGGCATTTGCCTTACAAGCGGCCAACATGGCCGACCCGAGTTCGATTCCTCCACCCCTCTCGGAGAGCCCGGCAAGCTACCGAGAGTATCTCGCCCGCACAGCAGAGCCTGGCAAGCTACCCGTGACGTATTCGATATGCCAAACACTGTAACAACGAGTCTCATGATGGAGACGTTACTGGGCCCACTCGAGCAAATCGATGAACAACAGGAGGACCGGACCGGACCGTGACTTTCTTGGTAAACTTTGCCCCAAGTTTTTGGGGTCTGGCCAAAGGCACAGCAGCAATTTTGGGGTATCTGAAAGTCTGACGGTGCCATCAGGCTGCTGATGCACTCGCCTCACAGGTACAGATTGACCTGCTGGCAGCACCATATCCCCGTGTTTCCAGTTTATTTTCAGGTGTATTTTTATTTTTGTATTTTATGGGTTTGGGGCCTCTTGTAGTGGTCAGGCTTTGAGCTCCATGATCCCTCTCGACGGTGCTCAGAAGGTCATAATGCTGATCCAGGGTTTAACCGTGGTGTGCTGCAGGCATGTCAAACACTCTCCCAGCCATACTATCTCTCTGGCCCTAGTTTCAGTTTCTTAATTGACTGGCATAACTACTATATTAATGTTTGATGTCCAAATTTAATTTCAACTGCTAAGTCTGATTCACTGCACTTATTCTTATAAGAGCCTACTATAGTTAATGTATTCTTAGTATTGTGATCATAATCAGTGAAAGATTTGGCACTCAAATTGTGGGGCAATGTTAAGAGGTATGTCATATTGTATAGAATAGTCATATGTAGAGTATAAGTAGGAGAAAGTGTAAAATTAAAAAATTCTTGGGGGTAGGACAGTGGCAGAAGAAAAACTGGGGTCATTGGTGATGAGAAGTGAAGTGGACACTGGTGGAGGGATGAGTATTGGATCATTGTATGACTGATCTTGAACAGCTTAGCAACTGTGTATTTCACTGTGATTCAATAAAAAAATTAATTTCCAAATGAATTTTAAGATTGTATTAGTATTTCTAACTTTAGAAAAACTCTTGTAAGTTTTTTAACATTAGACTTGCTTTTTTGAAGGGAGTAGGGAGATTGGGAGAATATTGGGTTTATGGATATAATTAGGAAGGAATTTTGAATGTCTCAGTTATTCTCTTTCACCACACATCAGATAATCACATGCAAAAATATATAGGTAAAAAAAAAAGGGCTGGAGCAATAGCACAGCGGGTAGGGCGTTCGCCTTACAAGCAGCCAACATGGCCGACCCGAGTTCGATTCCTCCGCCCCTCTCGGAGAGCCCGGCAAGCTACCGAGAGTATTTGATATGCCAGACACAGTAACAACAAAGTCTCCAATGGAGACGTTACTGGGCCCGCTCGAGCAAATCGATGATCAACGGGAGGGCCTTTACCTTTTTTACCTCGAGCAAATATTAATTTTGACTTCTTAGTTACATGTTTTCACTTATTTTTCTTTGATTTGTTAATTGTTTTCTTGGGTGGGTAGTGGCGGCTAGAGTCACAGTGCTCAGGGACTTCCTGGCAGTGCCTGGGGGACATTATTGGCAAATGCCTTCAAGGCACTGTCTTAATTAAGTTCTGTGTACTGTGTTTACTTCTCATAACTTTTTTTCTTCATGAGACTGTAGTCCAACAAAGGATTAATATGTGTGCAATAGGTGGAGATTCAGCAGAGAGGTTATTTTCTTGTGTATGTGCTAAAACTAAACTTTCTATGTCTTATTACCTGTCATTCCTTGGCATAATTAGGACTATAGTGTATTTCTTTGTGCCGCTTGCTTATACCTTTGTATTTCCACCAAATTGAGTCAGTGTATTTTTGAAGTAGTTTTTTCTGTAAATATCTAACACTTTGTTTCCTTAGAAAGGAATGCCATAGCAGACTTCTGCTGTTATATGAAGATCAAGAAAGACTTGTATATTACGTAACAATTGTAAATGTATTTTAAAACTCTGCCAGTACAATCTTTTTTGTATTTTATATTTGTCATTGAATTTTAGTTGGTGATTTTTTAAAAATTATTTCTTATTTTCTTACTCTTTCTAAAAAGGTATGATGATGCTATTCAACTCTATGACCGAATTTTACAAGAAGATCCTACTAACACTGTAAGTTAGCTGGTTATCTTGAAGAGTGTCTGAAGTTTTCCAAAGAGAGTTAAGTAATTTTGGAAACAATACAAAGATATGTATGAATCAGTTTTTTAAATCTTAAACAATTTATGATAATGAGCCACATTAGAAGTTTATAAATATTAATAAAGTTTCACATAGATTATCTTATTTAAATAGAGCTAGTTAAAATTTGGAAAGGAAAAATTTTATATACTTCCATAAATCTCAATGTTTTTGTAATATTTTGAAGATTATAGAACACTAATTTATGTCATTTTTTTAAAAAAATTTTTATTAGTGAGACGCCATGAGGTACAGTTGTAGATTTACAAATTTTTGTGCTTGGGTTTCAATTATCCAGTGATCAAATACTTATCCATCCATAACTTATGTCATATATTTTAGTTATCTTAATGAAAAATAAAACTCATCTTAATGGAATTATTGGAATTTTCAGTTTTGTTTTTTTTCTCTTTAGATTTAAACAATAGCATGCATGCAGCAGACCATTATATATTACATACTTTATGTAGCATATGCACAGTATTATAAATATACTTTATTACTTAAATATAACCATTATATGATATTTAATATGTTTCTACATATTACATAATGTGTTATGTGTATATTTGTAAGTGCTTTGTATTTTTTAAATAACATACTTACTCTAATATTTTTTGTTTGGGGGCCTGTTCCTAGCAGTGCTCAGAATGTGCTCCTGAGTCAGTGTTTGGTGATCAATTCTGGTGATAGTCAGGGGACCATGTGTTCAAAGAGATAAATAACTCTGGGTTCCTGTATGCAGATCATGCATTCAGTGAGTTGTGCTCTCTCTCCAGCTCTCTTGTAATCTTGAAAAATGTTTATATCAGTGTATTTGGCAGAGCATTAGTTTCAGAGATTCTTGTATAGTATTTATATTAAATGGTAAAATTTTTTGAAACCATTTTAAGTTGCATTTTAACATTTAATTTGTTTTAATTATAGCAACATATAAGCAGCATGGTTTCCACAGACAACTTTTTACTAATTTTGAAGTTAAAGAGACTGCAGAAAATATTAAATATTTTAATGTTTTTGTTATGTTCATTAATATTCCATAATAAGATATTTTTGAGAATTTTTTAATTGAATCACTGTGAGATACACAGTTACAAAACTTTTATGATTGGGTTTCAGTCATGCAATGTTCCAACACCCATCCTTCCATTAGTGTACATTTCCCACCACCAATATCCGCAGTATCACTCTGCTGGCCCCTCATGTCCAGCCGGCCTGTGTGGCAGGCACTTTTCTTCTTTGTCTCTCTCTCCTCTTGGGCATTGCGGTTTGCAATACAGACACTGAGAGGCCATCATGTTTGGTCCTTTATCCACTTTCAGCACACATCTCTCATCCAGAGCGGTCTCTTCCAATTATTATTGTCATAGTGGTCCCTTTTCTGTCCCATCTGCCTTCTCCCCCAGCCCTGAAGGCATGCTTCCAATTAGGGACCAATCCTCCTGGCCCTTGTTTCAACTGTCCTTTGGTGTTAATCTCATACTGTGTTTTTTTATGTCCCACAAATGAGTCCATTCGTTCTTTGTCCATTCCTTTTATTCTGACTCGTTTCACTCAGCATGATATTCTCCATGTAATTCTATAACTGTATAATCATTAATAAGCAAATTTCATTACTTCATTTTTTAATAATAGCTGTATAGTATTCCATTGTATAGATATACCATTGTTTCTTTAACCAGTCATCTGTCCTTGGGCAATTGGATTTTTCCAGATTCTGGCTATAATAAACAGTGCTGCAGTGAACATACAAGTGCAGGTGTTACTTCTGCTATATGTTTTTGCACCCTGGGTATATTCCCAGAAGTGGTATTGTTCAGTCATATGGAAGTTCAATTTCTAGTTTTTGAGAAATGTCCGTATTGTGGACTGGAGCGATAGCATAGCATGTAGGGCATTTACCTTGCACGCAGCCAACCTGGGTTTGATTCTTCCATCTCGCATGGCAAAGCCTGGCAACCTACCTGTGATGTGACGTATTCGATATGCCAAAACAGTAACAAGTCTCACGATGGAGACATTGGTGCCTGCTCGAGCAAATAGATAAACAGCGGGAGGACAGTGATGGAGTGCTACAGTGTCTGTATTGTTTTTCCAAAAAGGCTGGACCAGTCAGCATTCCCACTAAAAATGAATGAGAATTCCTTTCTCCCTGCATCTGCACCAGCACTAGTTCTTTTAGTTCTTTTTTTTATACAGTGTATGAAGTTAATTTTATTTATTTATTTTTTATTTTAACGAATCACCGTGAGATACAGTTACAGAATTACAAACTTTTGTGATTGCATTTCAATTAAACAATGTTTGAGTACCCATCCCTCCACCAGTGCCCGTTCTCCACCACCAATGTTCCCAGTATCCCTCCTGCCACCCCCACCCCTTCCCACACCCTGCCTCTGTGGCAGACACATTCCCTCTTTCTCTCTCCTTTAAGGTGTTATGGTTTGCAGTACAGGTAATAAGTGGCGATCATGTTTGGTCTATAGTCTACTTTCAGCATACAAGCACAAGTGTTGAGTCAGAGTAATCACTCAATGCCTCTTTTGCAAACCACAACACCCAAAAAGAGAGAGAGAACAGAGGGGAATGCCCTGCCACAGAGGCAGGGTGGGATGGAGGGGATGGGGGGTGGGAGGGATACTGGGATCCATGGTGGTGGAAAATGGGCACTGGTGGAGGGATGGGTACTTGGTCATTATATAATTGAAACCCAAGCACAAAATTTGTAAGTCTACAACTGTACCTCATGGTGTCTCACTAATAAAATTTAAACAAAACAAAACAAACAAGAAACAATCAACAACCAAGACACATACCTTCCACCACATGATATTAAGAGTTATACTGCTCAAAAACAAATATTGTAAAATTAGGGGCTGGAGTGATAGCACAGCAGTAGGGCGTTTGCCTTGCACGCAGCCAACATGGCCGACCCGAGTTCGATTCCTCTGCCCCTCTCGGAGAGCCCGGCAAGCTACCGAGAGGATCTCGCCTGCATGGCAGAGCCTGGCAAGCTCCCCGTGACGTATTCGATTTGCCAAACACAGTAACAACAAAGTCTCCAATGGAGACGTTACTGGGCCCACTCGAGCAAATCGATGATCAACGGGAGGGCCTTTACCTTTACCTTAGGGTTTTCAAAGGGATGACTAGAATTACAAGTTCCTTTCCACATGGCAAAATATAAAAAAATAATAAAGCTCCAAGCCAGAAAATTGGAAACAAGAATGAGACGGTGTACTCCCAACTACTTGACTTCAAAATACAAATAGAATTACCTGGGATAAATCTTTTGGTTCTTTTTGATATGTGCTAGTCTCTGTGACGTAAGATGATATCTCATTGTTGTTTTGATTTGCATCTCCATGATGATTAGTGATGTGGAGCAGTTTTTCATGTGCCTTGTTGTCGTTTGTATTTTTTCTTTTTTGTGTTTTGGGTCACACCTGGTGATGCACACGGGTTACTCCTGGCTTTGCACTCAGGAATTATTCCCGATGGTGCTCAGGGGACCATATGGGATGCTGGGAATCTAACCCGGGTCGGCCACGTGCAAGGCAAATGCTCTACGTGCTGTACTATCACTCCACACCACCATTTGTATTTTTTAAGTAAGTTTCTGTTCATTTCTTCTCCTCATTTTTTGATGGGGTTGAATTTTTTTTCTTGTAAAGTTATACCAGTGCTTTATGTTTCTTGATATTAACCCCTTAGCTGATGGCTATTGGATAAATAATTTTTTCCATTCTGTGGGTTGTCTTTGTATCTTGGTCACCTTTTTTTTTGAGGTACAGAAGCTCTCAGCTTAATGTAATCCTGTTTGTTTATCTTTGCTTCCTCTTGCTTGGTGAGTGGTATTTCATCTTTAAAGATTCCATTAACTTCAGTGTCATGGAGGGTTTTGCCTTGGTTCTTTTCCCCATGTACCTTATTTCCCTCTTGAAGAGCCCACCAAGTACCGAGAGTATCCCACCAATATGGCAGAGCCTGGCAAGCTACGCGTGATGTACTTGATATGCCAATAATAATAACAATGAAGGTCCTCATTCCCCTGACCCTGAAAGAGCCCCCAATACGCCATCGGGGTACACTAGTATGAGACAGGGATGAGTGGAGACATTACTGGGCATTCTCGAGCAAATCAATGAACAACGGGATGACAGTGATAAAATGATACCTTATGGACTCAGGTCTGATATTGAGGACTTTAATCCATTTTGATCTGACTTTAGTGCCTGGTGTTAGAAGAGATCTGAGTTCATTTCTTTTGCATGTCGTTTTGTAGTTTTCTCAGCTGTTGAAGAGGCTTTCCTTGCTCCACTTCACATTTCTTGCTCCTTTATCAAAGATGAAGTGATCGTATATTTGAGGGTCTGTGTCAGGATATTCAACTCTATTCTTTGTTTTTTGAGCAACCATTGGTTTTCAGAAATGTGAATGTTTATTAGTTTTAGGGGTATGGCAGTACCTCCAGTGCCAATTTAGTTCTACCACTTTCCATTGGATGCTTCTCTTCCTCTCCTCAATCTGATAACCTCTGTCATCACTCAGTTTCTAAGGGTTTTGTTTTTATAATTATTATTTTACATTTTTGGATCACACCTGCAGTTGCTCAGGAATTACTTCTGGTTCTGTGCTTGAGTCATTCCTAGTGAACATCCTACCCACTAGACTATCTCTCCAGCCCCTATCACACTTTTTATATAGGTTTTACTTCTTAAATGGACACTGCTTTATTATCGATGGAAGTAGAACCACTGTAGCACTGTCCTCCTGTTGTTCATCGATTTGCTCGAGTGGGCACCAATAACATCTCCATTGTGAGACTTGTTGTTACTGTCTTTGACATATTGAATACGCCATGGTAGCTTGCCAGTCTCTGCCATGTGGATGGGATACTCTCAATAGCTTGCTGGGCTCTCTGAAGGGGACGGAGGAATCGAACCCAGCTCGGCCATGTGCAAGGCAAATGCCCTACCCTCTGTGCTATTGCTCCAGCCACAGTAACAACAAGTCTCACAATGGAAGTAGTAAGGGAATGAAAAAGGAAAATTTACACTACATTTGTTTAGGATTGTAGTGGATTAGTGACAACGATTAGGAAATAGATAAATGTTCAAAAGAAATTGTTTTCAGTGGTCTTGAACTTTGCATGTGGGTGACCCAGATTTGATTCCTGTCACCAAATGCTCTCTCAGGAAGTACTGGGTGAGACCCTGAGCACACAAAACATTTTTTTTAAAGACATGCATTTCTTAATTATATGTCAGCTCATCAGTCTCCTACTTTCAGAACTTGGGATGAGGCTCTCAGTATGTCAAATATTCTTTGTAGGGCCAATGACAATGCAAGGGTTAAGATGATTGCCTTGGTCTCCACCTACCACACTTCATTCCTGTCACTGCATAATGGTCTCCCAAGCTTGTCAGGAGTAATCTGTCAGTATTACCAGGAGGTGACCCCCAAACCAAGATAAAATTAAAATAAATCTAATATTCTTCCTAAATGTAGATAGATGTTAGGATTAAGATATTTTTCATAGCTTTTGTTTTCATTCTGAGTTTTTGAAACTTTAAACTTTTATTCTTTTTTTAAATTAAGGTGTTTTCATTGTTTTATGTAGTGAAACTATAGAAAACAAAATTCTTGAGTACCTACAGGAGACAAGCATTATTATGCTAGGTGTTTTGTATGAACTCAGTCATCAAGGATATACATTTTCAGCCTGAGCCTTTATTACAGAAATACTACTATGAATATTGTTCATGGCCATACTTAACAGGGGGTCTCTTGATTCTTTTTGATTTTTTTTTTGACTCATTTCTTCACAGCAAAAATTCTTTCCTACTTCTGACAGGTAGCTCTGTTGGTCTAAAGCAGCCCCATCCACCTTTTTCCCCTGTATGATTCTTATGGATTGCATATCATCTAAAACATTAGCAATCATGTTCATTTTTAATCAACAGAATCTGGTCCGAATTATATTGTGTTTCATTATCTTGCCTTTTGTATTGGATCACCAGAAACAGAGGAGTAGTTCATTGTAATGCGCTGCATTCCCTGACAGTTTACTCCTGTGTTCTTGATTTGATTGCTCCTCTGCTTCTTTGCTCCTCCGAAATGTAGTGTCTCCTGCACAATTTTCTCCTTTCTCTTCATAAATACCGACTTGTCTCTTCTGTCTTGGCAGAGGTGTCACATCTGGCTCCCTCTGCTTCCTGTGCTTTTATCCTGTCCCCTTCACCACGGCCTCTGTTACGCTTTTCTTCTTGTACCACGGTACCCAAGATATCTCTATCATTGTCTTTTTATTTGATGTGTCTTTTCCCTGCATCTAAACTCAAGAAATTATCCATTCCTTTTTAAATCATTATATGTTTTAGTGTCTTGCACTAACTAGATTCTCAGTGAGTATTTGATGCATAAAATGTGATCTTTGTAATTTTTAAAACTTCAAAAGTAAGTATTAAGCGTTTTGCCTATTAAAAATGTTTCTTTCAGGACCCATCTTATTTCTTTGAAAAGCTCATAGGTAGATTTTTCTCTAAAATTTTGAAAAAGTTATTAGAAACCGTATTTGTATAATGACATTCAAATGACCATTGTGGGATTTTTGCCCCTCTAATCTCCACTACCGCTCTATCTCTTTAAGATACAGATCTTAAGAGTGAGACAGAGTAAAGGACTTTAGACTGGATAAAGATTAGGATTCCCTGCTGGCTTGTAATTATCAGAATCTGGATGGTTATTTATTTGAATGAAATGATGCATACATTGTGTGCATCAAAAGTAAAGCATATGTGATTGTTAGAAGAATGTTTGAATTCCCCAGTGGGATGTCATGAGCTATGTTTATAAACTCCCACTAAGCAGTGGTTCTACAATGGAATTTCACTGGCATTGAGATAATAATTTGCACAGTCAAATTACCTTCTTTACAGAAACCCAGGGAATCATGAGGGCCTAATCCTTTATTAATGTCAACCCATAGGCTGCAAGAAAGCGTAAGATTGCCATTCGAAAAGCTCAGGGGAAAAATGTGGAGGCCATTCGGGAGCTGAATGAATATCTGGAACAGTGAGTGTCTTACAAGAGGATTGTGTTTTGTGATTCTGATAAATCTTTTTTAATTAAAATGGAATTTGCATTTGATTTTCTTTTTCTTTCTTTTTTTTTTTTTGCCTCTATGCTGTTCATTTTAGAGTAGCTACACACTTACCTTTTTTTACCCTTTCCTCGCCAGATTTGTTGGAGACCAAGAAGCCTGGCATGAACTTGCAGAACTTTATATCAACGAACATGAGTGAGTTTTCAGATACATATACATTTTTGTTAGGAATGTGTTTTTAATCACGATGTGAATTTCAGAGGAAATTGTGGTTTTCAAAGAATTGGTGAGAAGGTGTGAATCTGTGACTCATGTATCATTTTAAAAAAAACATAAGATCAAAAATTTGTTGATTATACCATGAGAATTGCTTTGACTGGGTCTTTTCACTGAATTTTCAAACATGGGTGTCATTCTTTGGAATTAGAAAGACTTGCATTTGCTGAGCTAAGGTTATTTTTTTGTAAATCAAAATAGTGAATTTTCAGGGTTTAAACCATTCTTACGTACAAAGAGTATTGTGCTCCCTGCTGCTTAAAAATTCTGTCAATTGTATGCGTTTATTAGTCTTGGTACTCAGAGAATCAACTCTTCCATAGTAGAAGCATTCTGTTGCCTGGGTAAAATACCAAGAATAATCAAGAATGTTGAATGCTGTAGGAACTTGCTTATTGGATATTTAATGTTTTTGTTAGCTTTTTTATTGCTGCAGTGACAGGAGGAAATCCCAGTGCGAGAGGATTAGCCCAGTCTTAGTGCACGTTTTCTAATATCACAGCATTAGTGCTAACATTCATCTATAGGGAGGACTTTCCCCCCTTTTTTTTTCCTTCATTCTTCTCAATCTGAAGTATATCACATTGTTTCTTTCCCCTTTTTTTGAGAGAAAAGAATCAGATTCTCATGCACATATTCTCCCTGTGCATGAATAGTTAACCTCATTCTCATAGTACAAATAGCTGTCACAGGAAATAAAATAGAATGAAGATACTTGTCTCTTGCCTTTGCCCAGGGCTAAATATATCATGCGAAATGGAAAATTAAGGTAATTATCTGCATAATTCTAATAAAAGTGGGAGCTAAAATAAAAATAATAGCTGTCATTTAATGAATGTGTACTATATTCCTGGGGTCATTCTTTTATTCTTTACTATATCCTGGCTCTCAGATTTTCTTTGTTTTCTGTTAATCATGTTCCTGAATCAGGCTAATAGATACATAGGCATAGATGCTTGTATTTCAGTATATGAACACAGAGGCAGATTTTCTGATGTATATAAGATTGGCAATTTACTTGGGTGTTAATGTTTCTGTTTTTAAAGTCAACATTTATGTGGTATATGGTATGTTGTCTACATTACAGAAAGTTGAATTTTCAGAATAGAGTAAAATAAATGTAAGTTTTATTTTCTTCCTTAGATGATCACTATTTAAAATTTATCTGTGCCTATTGAAGATCACATGATGAAAGTGCTCTTAAAATAGTTAAAATAATTAGGGAGAAAATTTTAAAGTTATACCCAGAAGAGAAAATTTAGAAAGCCCAATTAACAATAAAGATGAAGACAAAAATCATGTGTATATGCATATTTCTAAGATTACTACAGTTTATATTTTAATTTTATTCTTTACTGCTGCTTGAAAAAAAGGAAGCCTAAAGTAGAAATTATTTTTTTAGCTATGTTTTTCAGTTAGTTGTATTTTGTTAAAATTTCTTCAGCAATAAATATTCTACAATGTGATTTTAATGGCTTTATATTACTCCATCTTATTACTTTCCTAGGGGAATATAAAGGGTTTTCATTTTCAGTACAATGCTGTAGCGATTATCTTTATTGTAATTATTTCCTTAGGCTAAATTCTTAGAATTACTTGATTAAATGATAAGCACATTATAGTTTTTTTGATAAATCATTTCTATTTGTTCACTGGAAAGGTAATACCAATTTACTTGCACACCAACTATTATTACAATTTCCCCCCTTAACAACATTGGAAGCTATCATTTTTTTTAACATTGCAAGTTTTGATAGATAAAAATTGGTTTGCACTTTAAAAATAAATTTAAGAGTGCTTCTATCAATAATATGAACCTTTGAGCTATCAAAAATATATCCTTGCTTGTTACTTGTCTTTTTAAAATAGATATTTTAAATTTGCAGAAAATTTGTATCATTATGTTTAGATTTATCAGTTTTGCTGGTTTTATTTTTGATCTTGTGAAAATTTACAAATGTTATTTTCTTCATCTATTCTACTTTTTCATGTTTCTAATATTTTTTGTATTTAGTTTTCATGTTGATTATGCAGTTTTAATCTATTTTAAAACTTATCATTTTTGTTTTATCTTCATAGTTAGGTAATGTTGTTTTGAGTCTAAAGAATTTCTTGGCATAGAGATGGATATAATTTTAGGGAAAAATATTTGAAAGTAATATTTCCAAAACAGGTATCTGTTAAGTATTTTTAGGGAAAATAATTGTGTTTAGATGACACAATTTATATTGTATCACAAACTTTCTGTTCTGAAACTCCTGACTTATAAAATAACAAAGAATTAAAAAATAAGTAGTAGTCAGATTTATAGTGAATTTAAATACTGTCTTCAGTTTTTTATAATTGGTATGAAAATCACAGGGCATTCAGAGTTTTTTGTTTAGCCATTTTGCAGAAATCCCTGATAGTGATAAAATTTATTGGGAAAATATAGCTATTTTTGAATTACTAGAGACAGTCATTTTAACATTTCTTTCTGCCTATAAAGTTGTAAACTATTTTAAATATGATCAGTTCAGGCATCATTGCTAGACTAGATGTAAATTTTTTATTCAGTACTCCTGAGTAAAACAAAATATGTAAAGACTTTTTAAATAGAGACAAAGGAAATTATTTCTACCATGAACTTTTTTGTTTTCAGGTTACCTTTAAGTTTGTTTATGCTTTATAATATAGTTTGTCTTCTTATTCCAAACTTAATGTCACACCAGTTGACAATATTGAAACACTTTCCTTTATCTAAATATGAAAAAAGACAATATAATTTGTTAGTGAATGACTGTGTGTGATATAAACAGAAATATGTATTTTAAACAAGGACTGACTTTTTCCTTGATTTGTAGTTAGAACTAGATTTTACATTGGCAAGACAACTAATTACAATGACAATTATGATTGTGCTTTCTTTTTTGTAGTTTCATCCTCACTGTAAAATTCTTTTAGAAATGAAATTATCAAAATTCTGTAAGAAAAAGATCATGTTGAAACAGTCTCAGAGCAAATTTTAGTTACAATATTTTATGGGAAATGAAGAATTTTTAACACTTTAATTATTGACTAATGGGTTATAATAAAGAAACTTTAGTTATTTTTGTTTCTCTAATCTTGATCTCATTGATTGTCTTCTTGAAGTAGTGCTGGCTATTTGTTATCCTTGGAAGTACTGAAAAAAAAAAAAAACCACTCAGATAAATTTCCATATGACAATTTCCTTGAGTGATCTAAACTGAGAAAAACTGGGTTAAACTATCTTTGAAGTTTGACTTTATGACCAAAATTAATTTGATTTTAAACTTTGGTGGAATGAATGGGGGGGAAATGAGTGAAAATGAAAATTGGGAGAACGAATCCTCTTCTTACATTGAATACTAAATAATTTTTGAGAAAGATAATTTTGCATTTATTTTTCATAGAAACTCCTCCCTTCCCATTTACTGTAGAAGAGTCATCATATGCTCTACACATTTTAATCTCTAAGAACACCTATTCTTAGCACTGATGTGGATTTTTGATATCCCAAGTTAAGGAAGTATTTAAAAGGGATTTTTTTTTTTTATTAGTGAAACACCATGAGGTACAGTTCTGGATTTACAGACTTTTAGGCTTGGGTTTCAGTTATACAGTGATCGAGTACCCATCCCTCCACCAGTGCTCATTCTCCACCACTAATGATCCTAGTCGCCCTCCCATCCCCACATCCCATCCTCCCCCCACTCCGCCTCTGTGGCAGGGCATTCAAAAAAGGGAAAAATTTTTTTGATGATATTGGATATCTAAGGTAATGATGACTTTTTTCATTCTTTTATAGTGATAAATACCAATATATGGTCCTTATTCTTTCATTTTATATATCAGTTAAGGTATTATTCATCATTTTAATCACTCTTTTACCTACTATATCAAGAACAAAAGGTAGGTTTCAGGTATAAAAATGAGAGGGACTAAATAACTATGCTCTTAGATGAGAATCCCCAGAATGTCCGTGTTTAAGTAAGTCTAAATTCTGTGATTTTTGGAGTAATCTGATTTGGATGGTTTTAGTTCCTCAGACCCTTTGGGTTTCACTGCTGTTGCTTTTAGCATTGTTAACATTGACATCTCAATACCTTCACTGTAGCACTGTAGCACTGTCCTCTTGTTGTTCATCGATTTGTTCCAGCCGCTTTTTTTTTTAAAATGTAATCATGGAGGCATTGTCGTTAAGAGCACAGGTCCTCTGAAATGTCACTGCTGAGTTACAGTTTAGATCTCTGTGTTCTAATTATGGAATGCTGGTACTTCCCTACTGCTCAGAATTTTGGGTAGGATTAGGTGAGTTAACACCTGTAGCACTCTTAGAGAAGTACATGGTTTATAATAAGCACATAATAAAGGTTAGGTACAGCTGTGTGAAACCTTAACACGTCTGTTTTTAAAAATAGATTTTAGTGCAATGATAGTACCTTTGTATACTGGTGATAAATATTAAAAACAATTGCAGGTGGCCTTTTTCTGAAGGGTATTGCCAACACCTGACTGGGAATAAATCTTAGAACAGCTGAGTTCTTTTAGACTTTCCTGTAACGAGGCAACTCATATGATTTAAAACTTACAAAATGCATAATAGGTGATTTAAAATTATTTTCCCTTAGTCTTTACAGCAGTTTGAGATATGCTTGAGTTTCAACAGATTTTTATTTCTTTACCACATAGTTAACTCATAGTCATAACACCGAATTCACTTAACCTGGGTTTAGAAGTTTAGCCAAAGGACAAAAGTCTTTGTAAAAGAATGTGCTAGTTAGTAAATATATGTCTGCAAAGGAATTCTAATGAGTGGAGATGATAAAATATTTATTTCCTTCTCACATACGAGCTTATTGAATGTTTTAAAATGATCAGTGAACTTTATATTACAAAGTTTTGAAGGATTTGTTATTAACTATTCTTGGATATCAGAGTAGTAATTGGATTAAAACATTTATCTATTGATTGTACACAGACTGTTTTACGATTTAAGCCTCTGTTAATTTCTTTTATTAAAAAATTAATGCTATTTGTGTTTATCAATTCATGAAAACTATTTTACTAATAAAGCCATTTCAGTTATTTAAGGATGTGTGACATCATAAAATTGTTTTAAAATTGTTACAGCATAACTAAAATTTATCACTGTTAACATTGCTTTCTGCTTTTGTTACTTTCCAGCTATGCTAAAGCAGCATTTTGTTTAGAGGAGTTAATGATGACTAATCCACACAACCACTTGTACTGTCAGCAGTATGCTGAAGTAAGTGTTTTCAAAAACAAGATTTTAGTAGATTTTAAACATTTAAATTTTTTTTATTTTTATGCTATTATGAATTAATGGTACAATTGGCACTATTTGATGATTTATAAGACTTGGAGCAATTATGATTTTTAAATTTATTTTCTTGGAAAGTCATGTTAAGGTGAATATATTTTGGGACATAGAAGGTGTCTTTTTTGTCATCTGTGTAGAAGAGCAATCAAGTGAGAGTTACAAAATAAAAAGACTTTATTATTAAGGAAGTCCATATAATTAGAAAATGACATTCATTGTCCAAATACAGATTTCTAATGCGAAGAAGTTGAAAATATGTCATAAAGCAATTTTAGGGCAGTTGAAATAGAAATTATACTGACTCTTTTTGGGCAATATTTTTATTTTAAAACTCAGTTATCTTAACATTCATAGAAGAGAATAGTTTTGGGGAGTAGGTAATGTTTTAATATTTAGATTAACTTTAACAACTTTAAGATGAATTCTTATAACCTCTTACATTTGTTTACAGAATATGTTTCAATTACTAATGCTTATGGTATGATACTTGCTATATTTCAGAGTAGGAAAATAAACAGGTTTCAGCACTGTGTAATTTTTAACAGGTTAAATATACCCAAGGTGGACTTGAAAACCTCGAATTTTCAAGGAAGTATTTTGCACAGGCACTGAAACTGAACAACAGAAATATGAGAGCTTTGTTTGGGCTTTACATGGTAAGATGAGGTGTATGTTTAATGTTATTTTATGAAGTTTGTCATTTAAAATAACCCTCTGTTCCCTTCCCTCTTTTTTATTGCATTGGTAAGTTTATGTTTTTATTTTCCTCTTGTTAATTATGAGCAATAGTTCATAAGGCATTTTGATTTTTGTAATAATATATTCTGCTAATATATAATTGTTTGACCATTGATTGTAAAACATTTTTATTGTATCTAAATGGAATCAATGATTACATAATTTTAAACTAGGAGATATAAGGTTTCGTATAATTATTTTGATTTTCTTGATTTTCTTTAGTTTCTATCATCACTGTGCATTTCTTACTATAAATTATGATTGTATGAGCTATTTTTAAATTATACTGGTAAGATATGTATTAGAAATAAAATGTCCAGTATGTCAAACTAAGGCATTTTCTGATATGAAAAAAGTATGGAAAAACGCAGTGATTTAATTAAATAAGTATATATTTTGTTTATGTGTGTTAAATGCAAGATTAGGGATAGCATTTTAGATCATTGAGAAATTCAGAAGAGTTTGCTGAGCTTGTCTTAAATATAAATGTGTGTGTGGTTTTGTGTGTGTATATATACATATATATGTGTTCACCTATGTATATGTATGCGCTCATATATATGCATGAATGTGTATATACATATGGAGCACTCTAGAATCATAATCAAGATTATGGTCATGATGGAAAAATTAACTTAATAGGCTAGTTCTTTAGAAATTTTAATATTTCCTAGTCTTTCCATTGGGCTTGGGTTATGATCTTGTTGGGGCTCAGTGGAAAAGAATGGAGCAGAATTCTGCTCACTTGAAATGGAGAATAGAAGAAACATCAATTAGAACAGTTTTGGGAAAGAAATGGCAAAATATAATAAAACAGTTTTGATATTTCAAGATACTTCAATATTTAAAGATATTTTTTTAAATTCTTCCAAAGCTAAATGCAGTAGCTTGTAGACAGTGTTGTATATTGTCATCTTTTTATCAAATTGGATATTTAGTTTTTTTCTAAATGGCAACAGATCACTAATAATAGTTTTTGCATAGTGTATTATATGCCAGGTATTGTTGTGAACTTTTTTTCATTAATTTCTCACATCAGCTATTTTAGATAAAATGCTATTGTTACTATTTTATAAACAGACTAAGACAGAAGAGGCTCAATTAATATGCTTAGGACAGATATAAATCTGAGTGATAGATGAGATTCCAGCCGGTTGGCTCCAGTTATTTTCTTACTCACTGAATTTGCTGTAATTCATACTGGGAGGTGCTGCTAAAGAGAGATGTTTAGAAATCGATTTTTGGCAAGGTAGTTTCCTCTTCAACAGCAGAAATAACACAGGGACTTAACAAAGACTGGGTATAAAAGAAAAAATTTACCTTTTGCTTAAAATTCATGTGGACAGATCCTCTCACAAGATATGAAAGTTGTTATTCCTTCCCTAGGATTAAAAACAAAACCCCTCAATTTAAAAATAGATGATTTGGGGTATTCTTAGATTATTTCTTGGGTCCCAGATTAAGACACCCATGTTTAAAAACTTTTTTTTTTTTGAAAAAGAATACATATCTCAGCACAGTGACTCCAATTGCTGTTGTAGTCTACACAGTTTAGAAATAGCTGATGAAAAAGAAGATTAGAAGTGAGAGTCGATTTCTGTGTTCAAGTAACTATCTTTAGTCAAGTCACATTGTTTCCGCTGGAATTAGGTTGAACCAAATTGTTTTTGAGATCTCTTAAACTAATATTCAGTAATTAATACCAGTACATAGTGCTGTTTTTATAAAGTGATTTTAGTACCTTTTAAGTAATAAAGAATATTATTTTAATAGCTATTATAAATAATAATTTAAGTTAAAAATATATTTTCTCATTTCAAATTATTATGTATTTAAAAAAATTTAAACATTTGTCTAAGAATTATTTTGCTCCAATTTTTTTTTTAACTTTATCATTTAATTTTAGCTATGCCTTTTATTATCTCAGCAAGGGGAAAGGGATTTTGTTTTCTGATAAGCATTTTTTTTTTTTTGTTTCCAGTCTGCAAGTCATATTGCTTCTAATCCAAAAGCAAGTGCAAAAATGAAAAAGGACAACATGAAATATGCTAGCTGGGCAGCTAGTCAAATAAACAGGGCGTATCAGGTTAGTATTGATAATTTTATGTTGTCATACAGGTCAGTTAACGCATTTCTCAGTTATTGTTTTTTTTACCAAACTACTAAGCCAGATGTCTGTTTCACTGGATTTTTCAAGTCCGTGGATAGGTTTTTGTTATGCAGAGTTAATTTGTAGTCTTATCATTTCTCTCTCCCTTTTTTTTCACCCCACCAAAAAAGGAATTTGTTACATTATGGTCAATTATAATTTGACCTACCATCTCAAAATCTCAGTAGTTTTCCATTTGACAACTAAACTGTAATTCTATATTCTAGGGAGATTAACACTTGCACTACGCATTTCAGAAGTACATTGGGTATGTGAGTCTCAGATCATGAATCAGGTGTCTCCAATAATAGAGAAAGGTCTAAAACTAAACTAACTTGTCTGTGTAATGATTTTATACTCTTTTTCCACATTAGATATTAACTGAACCTTCTCTAAGCATTTCCTAGTGTTTTGAAACTTAGGCCTAGGAGATTCTTCAGAAACATGGCTTCCTGTATCTTACAGCTTCTTATATACTTTTTATTATATATAAACATATATATGAAGGTATAAATTATACTTTGCATCATTAAAAGCATATCTATAGTCTTTTTGTAAAGGTAAAGGTAAAGGCCCTCCCGTTGTTCATCGATTTGCTCGAGCGGGCCCAGTAACGTCTCCATTGGAGACTTTGTTGTTACTGTGTTTGGCATATCGAATACATCGCGGGGAGCTTGCCAGGCTCTGCTGTGCGGGCGAGATACTCTCGGTAGCTTGCCGGGCTCTCCGAGAGGGGCGGAGGAATCGAACTCGGGTCGGCCATGTTGGCTGTGTAATTATTTTATTTTATGTAGTTAGTTTTTGGGCCACACCAGGCAATGCTTAGGGGTTATTTCTGACTCTGCACTCAGGAATCACTTCTGGCAGTGTTGAAGGGACAACATGAAATGCTGGGGATTGTACCCAGGTCAGCAGGATGTGAGGCAAGCACCCTACCTGCTGTACTATCTCTCCAGCCTATATGGTTAATTTTTACACGAACTTTGATTTCTATTTCCTGTGAATATATCTTAAGCATATTTTTCTCTTACTTTTAAAGATAAAATATTTGTCAGAAGTCCGTGTCATTCTGCTATTTTTCCATAATAAATGACTTGCCTATTGTCTAGTTACTCAAAGAAAATTTTTTATTTTCCTAAAAATCAATAAATTTACAGTGGTATATTTCAGTAATTCTTACTTCAGGGCTGGATCGATAGCACAGCAGGTAGGGTGTTTGCCTTGCATGCAGCTGACCCTGGTTCGATTCCTCCATCCCTCTTGGTGAGGGAAGCTACCGAGAGTATCCCGTCCACACGGCAGAGCCTGGCAAGCTCCCCGTGATGTATTAGATATGCCAAAAGCAGTAACAAGTCTCACAGTGGAGATGTTACTGATGCCCGCTGGAGCAAATCAGTGAACAACGGGAGGACAGTGTGTTACAGTGTTATTCTTCATAACCCACCTCAAGGCCTCTCCCCACCTAAAAAGATGAATTCTTTCAATATAATGAATATAGCCCTCTTTTGGAAAAGTTTTTAAAATTCTAGTTTTAAATAATAGTATTTGATTGCTTAAGTTTTCGTTTTAGGGCTTCAGTTCTAGTTATATTCCATCTTCTATCCCATCTCCATATGTCAGTTTCTTTCAACTCCTTTCTTGTCATATTTTCTTTATTCCTTTTTCTCTTTAATATTTTTTTATAGACTGCTCCTTATTCTGTTTCTTATTCTTCTTATTCAAATGAGATCATTTTGGGGAACTGTTTGAAGGATTTTGTGGGATTGCAGAAGCAGACATGTAGAATTACTGCCGGAGCCTGAAGTTATGGTGCAGCGGGCAGGGCATTTGCCTTGCCCATGGCCGACCTGAATTTGATCTTCCACATCTGTGTGGTCCCCCGAGTGCCACCAGGAGTTCAGTGCAGAGCCAAGAGAAACCCTGAGCATCACCAGATGTGACCAAAAAGACAAAAAAATAAGAATAGCTGCCAGTTTGATTTTTCTGTGACTTCTTTGCTATAGGATTAAAAACCTCTAATTCTAGTCTTTTTAAAGAATGGGTCTGTTTCAGGAAGATTTTTCAGGAAGATCTCTCTACCCATAGAACTGTGTAGATCATGAATTTTGGAGATGGGATGGATAAGTGGGAGATTAGAGGTCTTGGAGCCAACTCTTGCAGTTCTCTGTCAGTGGCGGGTGGGACAGGCTGGGAGGTGTTCCTCCCTATGGCAGACATGTTGATGTTTCGGGCCTACATCATCAAACTTTGATTTCCCCTCCTCCTATCCCCCATCCAGCGTGCGTCTGTCTTTCTTTCTTTCTTTCTTTCTTTCTTTCTTTCTTTCTTTCTTTCTTTCTTTCATTCTAAAGGAGGCGTTTTCTGTATATTTCAGAGAGTTCTTAGACTGTTAAACTTGTTACATTTGCATGCAGTTTTTATATATTACTTATCTTCGATTTTGAACCTTTGAGAGTTCCCTACTGTTATAGCTAATCTGCAGTTTCACTCCTGAAAAATATCTTGGTGGCTTGTGGAATCCTTTGTCCTCTTTTATGTCACCTTGCATCTATCATACATTACCGATCTGTAGTCCTGCACTGCTATTCATAAGACAGACACACACAGGTCTATATGTATATGGGATTTAGCTTTGGACTTTGTATTATTTTGGTTTTAGAGTGTATCTTTGTTTTTCTGTTAGTCAGAAAAGATTGAGAAGCTTCAAGGAATTTACTGCATTTCGTGAATCACTTCATTTGTATTTACTTTTGTATTTTTATTATTATGTAATAGAAAATCTCCCGTTGCCATATTGTAAATTCGAATATCAGAAGTACTGGTAGGTTGCAGTTCTTGCATTGCAATTTAAGAGAGTCTGATATGGGACTGGAGCGTTAGTACAGAAGGTAGGAGCTTGTGCCTTGCACACAGCCAACTCGGGTTTAAACCCGACATCCATTATGCTCCCCCAAGCCCTGCCAGGAGTGATCCCTGAGCATAGAACTAGGAGTAAGCCCCAAGCACTGCCAGGTGTGTCCCAACTGCCCCCTACAGAAGGAAAAAGAAGTAGTGCTGATCTGTATAGACTTTGAAACAGAATAATTTTATAATATTTGATTTTGGAAGGAGGATTTAGGCCATTCCAGGGAGTTCCCAGGATACCGCCCACAACGTGAAGGATCTAACTGGGGTCCACCGTGTACAAGGCAAATGTCTTACCAAAGTACTGTCTCTCAGCCCCCACACAGAGGATTTCTTAAAAAGAGAAAGTATATGAATGCTTTAAAGATAAAGCTTGGAAATATAAAAGCAGTGGTATGGAAAAGATGTCATTCCTAAGATTCACTTTTTTGGAGGTGCTGAGGGACCGTTTGCAATGCTACAGATAAACCTGGGTCAGCGGTGTGCAAGGCAAGAGTCTCAAGAGGCTTAGCTAGTGTGCTATCCCTCTAGTACTTTGAAGAGACTTACAAGAGGCAACTGGCAGCGTATGGAACCTTTTTGAAGAATGGCCTGGCTCTGTGTTTAAGTCCATTTTTAATTAAAATATACCACATGGGAGAAAACCTATTGTAAATGTGAATTTCATTGAATTCCTGAGGTAAAAACATCCTCATTAGTCAAACACATGACAACAGCCCCAAACCTTCCTGGCACTCCCTTTCCATTTCTGCTCATTCATCCTTCTTAAGAGTACCAATTTCTCACCCCATTGTTGTTACTTTTTAAAAAAAAATTCATGCAATCATATGGTATTGTTTTCATTTGGATACTTGCTATTATAGCACAGCGGTAGGATGTTTGCGTTGCACGCAGCCAACATGGCCGACCCAAGTTCGATTCCTCCGCCCCTCTCGGAGAGCCCGGCAAGCTGCCGAGAGTATCTCAGTATCTCGCCCGCACGACAAGCTCCCCGTGATGTATTCGATATGCCAAACACAGTAACAACAAAATCTCCAATGGAGACGTTACTGGACCCGCTTGAGCAAATCGATGAACAACGGGAGGACAGTGACATTGACTTACTATTATGTTTGATTTGATCCTGTATCTGCCTGTAGCTTTTCTTTTTGATTGTAGTCTGTTGTATGAACATTGCAGTGTTGTAAGTCAGTTCACGAGCAGGATTGCTGTTTGGGGCTGTTAGGAATAATATGCTGGGTATTGCTGCATCATTCTTTTGCTGTGCTATACTTCTAATGTGCATATACAGTGTGGGTGGAAATGCTGGGTCATAGGATAGTTACATATTTATCTTCAATAGATAAAGCTTATAGTTTGATCATCAGTCTTTGAGCATTCTCACTTTTCCACATCTTCACCAGCACCTGACTCTGTTAGTTTTTATTTATTTATTTATTTTGTTGTTGTTGTTTTGCTTTTTGGGTCACACCTGGCGATGCTCAGGGCTACTCCTGGCTCTGCACTCAGGAATTATTCCTGAAGGTGCTCAGGGGACAATATGGGTTATCGGGAATCGAACCCAGGTTGGCCGCATCCAAGGCGAAGGCCTTACCTTCTGTGCTGTTGCTCCAGTCCCCTCTATTAGTTTTTAAATAATCATAATATCTCTGATGTGTGTGTAGTGGAATCACATGGTTTTATTTTGCAGCTTCCTCATAATTACTTAGGTTAAGCATTTTTACTTTTTTTTTGGTACCTTTATTGGTTATCTGTTTAACCTTTTTCATGAAGTCTATACATTTTATTAGTTTAAATATTACATTTCATATTTTAGTTTCTTGGTAATGAGCATATGTATCATCTTTTTCTGCTTCTGTATTAAAGAAAATATAGCACTAGATCCTGATAGCCTGGTTTTAGAATGTGGCTGTGATGTATTAGCTAGGTAACCTTAGATAAATTGCATAACATCTCTAGACCTCATTTTCATTTGTGTGGTAAGTATAATAAAAGTTTTCTGAGATTAAAGGAGTTAATAAATCTCTTTCACC